TCTTTTTTAAGACATGATTACGATTATTTAAATTAAATTTAAATTAAGAAAATTTTACATATAAATAAATTAAAGTATTTGTTCTCCATAAGTAGCTCCTTATTATTATTATTTTTTTAAATATGGCAACATGCTCTAGAAACAATGCATCACTTTCTATATACAATCAATTAAAAATAAAAATTGATTTTGGAATATTTTTTTTCAGTATATATTTTATATTTAATATAATATTTAATTTATATATAACAATATCACACACACATATTTATATACGTATATGCACAAGAACACAATCATTAGGTGAAAAGTGAGGATGTTGAATAACCGCTTAAGATGCCGAAGAGACTATTAGTGGCGGCCGATAGTGGTAGGGGTAGGAAGGAACCTTTCTTTTCCAGGACCTAAAAAATAATATTTTTTTTTTTGTCTGCGTCCCGAGTTCTGATTGGCCGGAGGGCCCAAAATGGCGGTTCTGAATTGACAAAACGGTTACAAGGTCCTCTCCCGTGTGAAATTCTTTTTTGTCTACGTCCAGTTCGGGCTTGATCAGGTTAGATCCTTTAGTCGCCCAGATTATTGGAAGTTTCTTTAGTACATTAGGGATCTATAATAAAACTAATTTGGAAATCTAAGCATAAACCAACTTTTTTATAAATAATATTAATAGTATTAATTAATTACTTTGAAAATAAAATGAATTCTTCGACGAATAATGATAATTCAATTTTTGTTCAGAAATTGAAAATAACTTTACTATAAAGTCCCTTTAGAATAACAAAATAGTGCATAGGTAAAAGACTACATCTGGCCAAAAATAAAACAATAATAAAAAATCATTCATAATAAAAAAGAATTATTAATTTTACTGTTCATTTTTTATTAAAAGACGAGAAAAATGGAGCTCAAATGAGAAATTCGAATAATAAACGGATAATAAGAGTAATTTAAGTCACAAATAATAATTATAAAACATTTTCAAAAAATAATAACAATATTTTTCATTTAAAAATCAATAAAATAAATTATTACGTTCAGTTTGGTCAGTAAATCATAACAGGAGATAATCAATAGATGAAAATAATAATAAAACATCGTTTTCAAATTTTCAATTTATATATTTAATATATCTTGTTTTTAATATAAAATTCATTGATATAAGTAGATTAATTTTTCATTTAATTAATTTGCAGTAAAAAACAATGATAAAGAGATTATTTCCTCCAGATCAACTTCAGAATTGTGGTGAAAAAAATTAATTAATAAAACATGATTAAAAAAAAATATTAACTAGTGGTTATTTTTTTATTTGTTAAAAATTTATGGAAGAATAATAATATATTAAATTCAGGAGAAAACCTCCTTTTTTGTAATGAATAATATAATTTTTTTTTAAATACCTATTAAAAAAAATATATATATTACACAGAAAATGATACCATTAAATCGATTAATATATTTCATTATAATTCTATGTTGGTATGAAATATTTTACAAATCATAAGACATCGATATAATTTATCATATAAAATAATAAATAAAACAAAAATTACCAAGTTATGAAATACTATTAGAATTTATTTTTTATATATTTGAAATTAAATAAAAATATAAATGAGAGAAATAGTTTATCAAGTAACCTGAGCATTACATTCATTAAGTTGACAAGGCACCATCTATTGGAAAATAATAATTATATATTTATAATTATAAGTAAATCTACTTATATACAATTTGCCTTGAACGTTATTTTATTTTTAGTATAATAGTTATAAACAACGAAAGTTTGCTATGCATTTTATTTTATTCGGAATATATTAAAGCTAGTAGAATTTTAAATAATATGGCGATTTATTTTATTAAGATTTTAAGATTTTTATGGGAGCTTATCAGATTCAAAATCTATTTTCCAATAAAATCCCAAATTTCAAACAAAATTAAATATTGGATACAATAATAAAGACGTTTATTTTATGTTTAAAGGAATATCAATACTTCAGTTGCCAAGCTTGACTTGCCGGCCATGGCACGACCTGTAGATACTAAATGCTTCTTAAGTACGGTTGGGACTTAGTAGTAAACACGCTACAAGTGCGCCTCAAGTCGAACCTAATGAAGATTGTGGACTTACCAAAACGGTTAACAAATGTTTATGGTCAAATCTCAACTTATAAGCCCTGTAAGAAGGAATTATTAATTGTATTGCTTTGAAGATGTCTTTTGAATATTTTATTTTACTGTACATAATAAGTCTATAGTAAAAAAAAAAAATTGGAATTCAAAATCAAAAATTAAAAAAGTGTAAATTTAGTTTTGTAGAATTGAAATATTCTCAAAAATAACATGCAAATCTAGTGAAATCTAGAAGTTTCCAAATAAAACAAATCAATCATCCCTATGATAGTTTTTGTCATGTTTTGGTCAAAAATCTTCAACTGCCTATCTTTATATTTGTATAAATATATTACATGGCAAATTAAATATAAATTACGTTCCGTAATTAAAAAAAATATAAATGTACAATTATAGTAATAAGTGGAGTAGAGGACATATTGGAATATAAAATATTGTAGTTGATTAAGGGTGATTCCAATGCTCATATATGTGGCGCGTGATACCTTACATATTCAAACTAAGTTACTAAAATAATAACATTTTTTTTATTATTTTCAATCTATTTCAATTTATAATGAATGACGATAGCTCAAGATTTACCTAGTTGATGATTTAAAATAAAAATGCAATTATGATGTCGAGAAAGAATATTACTATTGGTATAGTAATAATTATGAATATGAGTAAAAAATTGAAACTTTGTTTTGCCTCAACTACTATGTATTGATACTTATAAAAGTGTATCAATAATATGAACACAAGAATGAATAAATGAAACATGTGAGGAGTTCTAAATAAAAATATTTTAAATGAAATTTTATGTGATAGTATTTTACAGAGTGAAAATTGTTCAATATAAGCAATGGTTTGATCAAAATATTTCTTTTTTTTTAAATTTCTTTATTGAGTATTATAACAATCTGTCTGTTGGACATTGGTTATAGTGAGGTAGGATGACATTCACACTATATGTACAAAAAAATAAAACAAATAGAACAAAATAATAATCAAAAGTATAAACGAAAAAGTATCAAAAGTATTTTATCAAAAGTATAAAATATTTCTAACAAAATTTACTTTGAATAAACGATGATTGATATTATTCTCAACAAAAACAACAAGTCGGAAATGAAACAATCAATTAGTAAATAAAAAACCGATACCGCGTAATATATCGTTTCGCATATCGATAGTAATAAGGTGAAGTGCAAAATTGCGTAAGTACACAAATCAAGTTTAAGGTCGGGAGATGGTTTCACTTTTGCTCCCAGAGGCGACTTTGGTTCCCCGTCATTTCAGTTCTCAGCGGGTAGCTGCTACTGAGCGTAACCGGTGATCGATCAACAAGATATGATATTTTGATTTTCAGGAGCTGTTATTTTTAGTATTTTAACATTTTGTTTGGAGATCAATTTCAAATGTGTCCAAAAAAAGGTTTTCTTTCTCGTCTAAATAAGACGATTTGATATCCAAAATAATCTGTGTATGATATAAAAGTAGCAAGCACGAGCTTTTTGTCAAATAATTTTCCAGTTACAGCGAAACAATAAAAAATTCTAATAAACATTAAATTTTTTTTTTTTATAGAAGTGACAAGTCATACGGGGAAATAAATGAATAATGTGACTTACGATAAGAAATTAAATTTGATAAACTCATTGTTGAACCAACCTCCGTTCCATATCAGATCAAAGGAGAGTTGACAAATGACAGAATGATTAAACATCAAAGATAAACAAATTGGAAACCATAGGGTCGGATGTTTATCAACTGAAATTGAACTAAAATAAGTTATGTTCAAAATTCATCTATAATAAACCATATATAATGAACAACATATAATGACCATCTAATAAATATGCATTACAGGAAAAATTCAAAATAACAATTCGAGTAATAATTTGAGGGAAATGATAATTGACAACATTTACAGAATGAAAAACACAAATTCAAACAAAAAGGATATGATGATAAACAATGAGAAAAGGTTAAATATTCAAATTTAAAATACTAATGCTAAATAAAAGGATTCCTTAAATAGATTCCTGATAGATAAATTATTAATTTAAACATATATATTATAAATATTTTGGTGGTATTTTAATTGAAAAAAAATGGATTAACCTTCCATTTGAACGTTTGAAAAAGAATTATCAAATGGTTTATCCACATATATTTATGTAATCAGGAACATTGTTTCCTTATATTTAGTTAAAATTCATAAATGTAAACACAAAAACATGTCCGAAAAATAAATTACATAACAATAGACAACTACAAGCAAGCGGTTGAGGAGAGGTTCCATTTTGGAGCACATGCAAAAACAAAGAAGTGGATTTCGTCCGTTACTAACAAACCAGGCATGGTTTTCAAATTTGTTTACACATCATAACAGCTATTAGCACATTTTTTTTTGTTCTGAATTTTACTGTTTGAAAGATTCTACTTTTTAGTTGTAGTACTGAAACGCAATATGTCAGAGACTGATTTCTTATTTATTTTTTTAATGCAAAGGTGAAAATACCTAACAAAATATGTTAACTTGTTTATAATCAGATTTAAAATTTAGTATTCGTGACATTTATATTCAACAAATATGATCATTGACTAAGTGAAAATGGGACAATAATGGTAATATTTAGTCTACAGTATTTGTTAAATTATGTACGATAGGCTTACCACTATAGAGCGATTAAATTTAATTATCAGAGCATGCAACGAGGTGTATAGATCAGTGAAATGATTTAAATGCATGACCCATTATGGGAATATTTAGAAATCAATAAGAGGGTGTTTATTATTTTTTTTAAAATATTGTTTAATAAACAGAGTAAAGCATGGTTGTCCATGAACCTTGAGGGCAATGTGATTGATAATTAATCTCTAAACAATGATGACTATAGTTTTATATTAGTTTGGTTAGACTTATTTTCTAATGAATAATGGTGAAAAGGAGTTTTCTTTAGTCGATCTTGATAAGAAAACAAGAAGGAACCCGATCAAAGAGGATATCAAGAGACAAGTGTCGGCTGATAAGGACGTTAAAGTTTCCCGTGAAAGAGCGGCGGGCCGGGAGTGATAAGAGTGCCATGGCAACGAGGAGGAAGGTGGGGAGCACTTAGAGGACTTTGCTGCTACTTACTGCGGTACTGAGCGGAGGGCTGGTGCTTCGACCAGAAGCTGAGTGCTGCCGAAGAGTAATCCAGGTTGCTCGGTGCAGGTTGTGCTGTGACGGTTGCCTGTTGAGGTTGCCGGTGACTGGACCAATGTGCCGAAAATTCGCCAAGGTGTCGCTCCCCCCACCTCCCCCCACCATTCCCCGTCTTGCCGAAAACCTGCCCCCACCGTAACGGTCCGCGGCGGCCATTGGGGGATGATCTGCCACTGACCTCGGTGTCATCAAGCTCTTTCATCTCTTATCAATGCCTTATCACTTCTGTCGGCAGAGTGCCTCTGGAGTCACCCCCTCCTCGCCTTACCAAGCTCCTCCTACTCCTTACTCCTTGCGGAAGTCTTCTGCAGTCTTTGCAAGTCCTGATTTAAAGATTCCGGTTATGGAAACCTGAAGCACCTGTGGCAGCCAGGATTGGAATCTTCAATACCATCCATTAAAAGAAGTTTGTCGAATTGATTGAAGCCAATATTGAAATAAGGAATTTTAAAGAAAATTCTACACTAATCAACATTGTACACTAGATTAACACTGATCAATAAGGTCATCAATATATGAAATTATTAGCATTATAACACTTAAGATTCTGAATAATAATAATATTAATTAATAATTATAATAATAATAATATTGTAACTTTGTCCAATATAATATTTTTATGAAATAATGTTAGATATAGCAAAATTTTTACTGCAGTTTTTCTTTTTTTGTTTTTTAAACTCATGTTTCATGGTTCCAAAAAAAATTTTTTATAGCTTAAGACAGTTTCTGATTGTCAGCTTATAAGGCAAGACATTTGTTTTAATTCTTTCCTCATTCATTTAATTGATATATGTACCTATTCAAAGACAATACCTAACACAGGTAACAAATAAAAATTATTTTTTGTTACCGAAATATGTTTCAAAAACATTTTTACTTTGGTTACATTATGTTTCATTGAGTTTCAATTGAGATGAGTTTTCGTATTTATATTTAGAATTTTTTAATACAGGACTAAAACTAGGATTTTTCCAAGTAGAGGCAAGCTTAATTTTAACACTCCTTCGATCACCTCGCGTCCTCCCCACTCAAGTCAAAAGTTTTATAACAATATTTTAGATAATATACGAGTATATATCTAAATAAAAAATATCGTTTCATAACATAAAATTATTTGATTGAGTAGATTTTGGTCAAAACAACCAAATTGCCGAAAATAATCTTATTTACTTATGCAAACAAATTCTGCTCAAAATTTTCCTCCCTCTAATTTCTACTGCCTGTTGTCAGCGGTAAATTTTAAGTTTTTGTTTCAAGAGGATTTTTTTTTTTTTTTTTTCAAAATACCCTGTTTCAGTGATCACTGATTCTATGACAGGTATGAAAGAGAAAGTTACCAGTGTCATCTTAAACTGCCGTATATTTTTTATAATTACATATATTTTTAGCTACTTAAGTGGGCCTTACATCCAATCGTTGTTCTTGTGAGTATTTCCTTATGTATAAGATTCGAAATTAATCGAAGATATATTCAATCATCGTCCCGATAGAATCCCATCCCTTCTTCCATCAGTCGTTAAAATAACCACCCCTCATTTATATCTCTCCTATTTTATTTTATTTATTAAATTAATTCATCTAAATCTAATCAGACCGTATATAATGTGCAATAATATGAAATTCCGGACTTTAATTAGTATAACAAAATAGATAAAATAGATGATTTTTGAGTGTTAATTACACAATTAATAGTCCATGGTACAGACCCCTTTTTATGAAATTATTAACATACGGCTGACATTTCGTAAATAGCTTCATCTCCTCGTAACCTACAAATATTTTATTTATGAAAATTCTCGGAATTGGGGCGCATTCAATCTGGAGGTCGACAAACTTTGTCTATTTAATTAGGTACGAAAAACACGTAAATAACGATTTGCTTTCCCCTTGAATGGTAAGATAACTTTACCATGAAGTACATAAAAAAAGGTAGTCTTCAAAAATATTGAGCCATTTGGCGTGACCAACATCCCCAAATTTTCAAAATAACGAGGTTACATAGGCCAAACGGCTATTTTTGAAGGTCACCTTTTTTATCGACTTCGAGCTAAAGTTTTCTTACGATTCAAGTAGAAAGCAAATGGGTATTTACTAGTTTTTAGTACCTAATTAAATCCCTATTAAAGTGTTCTCAGATTTTATTTCTTTTGTTGTTACACACAAAAAAAAAAAAAAAAAAATTTCAGACCATTTTGGTGTGGTTTTGAACTTGTCACTACCGACCCCAAGTACAGTGACTAGTGTTGCCCAAATGCGGTCTTGGTCTTGCACATGAGTCTCGCAGTTACTTATTAGCTTATTACTATAGATATATTACTGTATTATTTTAGATGAGAGAAAACTAACTAAGCCAGAATGAAAAATTAGAGGAGTTGAATGCAAAAGTATATTGGTTATACCAATTATTAACACATATTAACTATGATCGTCAAGTGTTACTAACTATTTGGCCTCACTTTTTATTTAAAACATCGATTTTTTTTACCAGTTCTGGTCTTGGTCTTGCAACAGTTAGGTGGGCATGGTCTTAGTTTTGCAAGTGCAAGACTAAGAACGATTTTGGGCAACACTGACAGTCATTGCGCCGCTGGTGTAGTGATGTAGGTTTTGCCATTTTTTTTTCTAATTTATTCCTATTAGTTAATTTCTGTACTTATGGCAAAATTTTTAGTATTTATATGTAGTCTAATTAACATTTTACTGTAAAACTTTCTTTCAGATAATTAGAAACAAAATTTTGGACGATTAAATGAAAATTTTCATAACTGTACTCAGTCTACTCTATGCTATAAAAAAAGAAAAAAAACATACATTTGCACATGTATACGAGAAAATAATGAATGAAATTTCATAAAATTGATCTATCATTTTCACTAATCCTTCATGTTTCTCTAATTTTGAGCCAAATTAACTAAGATACTTTTGAAATATTGACGCGTTTAGGAAATTAAATTCACACGTGCGTATGTGAATGTAGAACATGTAATTTGATGAAATTGATATGAGAACAACTAAAAACCAACTCGTACGATCTCCGAATATTTCATTAAAATCATATTAACGGCAGTAGGCGATATTTCAGTCTCATTGATATGACTGATAACGTTGATTACAAATTTATTCCTTGATGTTCAAAGGTAAAGCACGGGTGAAAATTTTTGTATTACAGCACAACCTTTTTTTTTTAACCTCCTACATAATTAAAACAAAATACCTAAATTCGGAATGGAGGTAACAATAAACTGTATAGGTATTCGTTCTTTGACCTAAATATCCCATTTGTCCAAGACCTTATTTTAGAAAAAATCTTCGAATTTCATCAGAACCTTACATATTAGCTAAATCTCTTTGCACAATCCTCTTTTAAGTCCACCAATCAATACAATCCTCTTCAAAGGATGAAGCGGCAGTGGCTCAGAGATCTTTTCTAAATAAGTATGTATCAGAGTTCTGGCAATGGATAGATTCTCCACTCAAGCCATGTATGCGGTTACAGTGCCTCTGCTCAGCCTCTACTGGTCCTCAATATTAGTAATGCGGATGAGTGAGAGGCTCTGAGATCTCCTAGAGTCTTGCCTTTCCTTCCACGATAGGTGAGAAAGACTTGGCTCATAGTTCTACTGAGTGAATTCTAAATATTATATAAAAGTATGTTTGTAGTTAAGTTGTTATTTTGATTAGATTAGTTTCGTTTTGTTTATATGCATTTACTTTCAGTGTTATTGTTTTGATTTTTATTAATTTTATTTATTGTACATAAAGTGCGAATGAGCTACTCACAAGCTAATGCTCTCAAATGTGACAAAATGTAATATTACTCAATAAGGAAATGCAATAATAAATAATTCTATGTTACCAGGTATTAGAGAAATTACATAATAAGTGGACTTTTCATTTATTTATTTTATAATATTTTTTAAACCTAAATAAAATATCGAAGATGAAGAGAGGAATAGTTGGGATGGTCAGTCAAAAAAGAAGTCAAAAATAAATGATAATACTTATTTTTACATATGCCGACGTTCCGACCTGAAGTTCAGGCCATCATCAGGGCTGAACTTCAGGTCGAAACGTCGGCATATGTAAAAAGAAATATTATCATTTATTTTTGCCTTCTTTTTTGACTGACCACCCCAACTATTCTTCTATTCATTATCCACGACAGTCAACCATTTACCAATTATGAATAAAATATCCATTAATTAGTTTTAAGGATGATTAGAATGGAGTTACTGAACTCGGCCTCCTAGAAATCGTACATAAAATCATCTGTTTTTGCTTAATCGAAAAATATTTTTTTATAAATATAATAATCTGTCACGTGGATAATAACTATAGTGAGATATGAACACATTCATCTCATATATACAGAAAACGTAAAATTAACAAAAGTAAAATAGTAACTATAATCAATAATAATAAAACAACTATGTGCAGTAAAAAATAAAATAACCTAAAGATAAGTAAATTAAAAATATAAAAACTCAGTCATATCTGTATACAATATATACGATCAGGTAGGGGACCACAAGCTTGTATCTCCAGCTATAGAGGGAAAAGCAGGAATCCAAGGAAAAATATTTATTTAGACATTTTTAATTTAGCGTGAATCTCTTTTCTATCCATCAGTTTGAACCTGAAGGTGGACGTTGAGAAAATTAAACAATAAAACACAGGTATTTATTGTGCAGCGTTCGACGGGCGAGGAATTATATTATATATAATAATGGAGGAGAATAGGCCAACTGCATTAGGAGCAAATAATTCAGCCGTTCCTTGCAAGTGGTCCTATCGATTTTTAAACGAACTGGTTTTGCAGTTGTTTATGCAGCGGATATCTGTCGTCGTGCACCTTGAACACTTTTTTCCCGGATTCCTTATCCACATCGCTTAGGCATGGAGCAAATTGAATCCCCGTAATCACTGTAACAATATCAAGTAATTGTGATTTATACATTTTATCAGGTTATTCCTCAATTAATTGGAGTATGAAATATTTTAATTACTAACTTATTTACACTAGTGAGAACACTCATGTTAAGTATCCCTTTTCCTAATAGTTTCAAAGCCCGTGCGAGAAAATCGACATTATTTGATAGAAATTTTGATTTTTTTTTAAACATTTATAACATGCATATTAAAAAACTGTCAGTCGGATCTTGCTATCTCAAAAAATGACAGCTGATTTAAAGAATATTATGCCAGTAACTTGATGATGAAAACGGGAAACCCATTGCAAAAAATGTGAGAGTTTTAAAGTTTTATTTTTTTTGACTTGTATCTATGGAAAAAAGAAAATTGTTAACGCTAGCCACAAAGGGAAAATATTTTACAGCCAAAAAAAAAACAACAGATTTTTTCGATTTTTTAAGCTTTTTTACCTATAATTTCTAAACGGTACATCGAAGCGAAAAACGTATTATTTAAGAAATTAAAGAAGATTAAGATTATAAATATTGTATATGTTTGACTCACCCATGATTTTTTTTCGTATTTACCTTC